ATTACTCATACTGCACTATCATTTATGATGTAGTTTCCTGTATTTCATATATGAACATAGTTATAACAACGCAGTATTCAAGAGTTAATTGATATTGAGGGTCATCTTCCCCGACACAGTATGTGATCTTCCCAGCTGATCAAAGAACATAAATACCAATAAAATAGGCCATGTGCACTTTCCAGCTGAATTGTATGTGAATTATAATTCATGTAAGTGATTTAAGAATCTGGCCATACTAGTTATTCAAAACGATAGAATTCTATAAATATTTCTATGTTCAAACCCATGTTAATCCAACCGATATAACGGTGTAGTAAAATCTGGTCAAGTTGATAGTTATCGTTTTTCCAACCGAAAACTTCCAAAGAGCTAATACCACTCTACCATAAGGGGCTAGACATTGATTACAAATAGTCTACATCACAAAGCATACATATCATAGTCAATAAAGGCATTTATTTTTTATTTACAGATTTTCTTCTCGCTAGCATAATCAATGAATAAATTTTAACATTTATGGTGGCGACAAAATGATATCAAATCAAAGTGTCTAATTAAATTTCACACCAGTTGAAGTCAATTTAATTACAACACCCATAAACCTAAGAATATGCACATCGAAGTGTTAATTAACAGAAGACGATTTACCAAAGCAATGTGCCATTGCCTTTTCTTTTTCCAGAATTATATATGTTCATTCCAGAATTAAATGTTCATTCTAGCACTATACTAAAGATTTATATCCATTGTTTTATGTTTTAACGGATTGCAAGAATTAATACCATTAATGTATCCTTTCCCAAGAAGCTTTTATATGTGGAATTATCTGCACCGCATAGAAGAATCGTTTTATTAGTAAAACTAATAAATCTAAACTAACGGTTTGTATAGTTATAATCCGGTAAAACACATATTATAGAAACATCTCGATGCGTATTATCGCCATTTCTGATATTAATAGATTCCAGAAGATGTGGTATATCAAGATTATGATCCAATTCTTTTTTTAAACAGCTTTTCATTTGTTAACTCCGTATTTATTCATGTACGTAATGAACTGATGACTAAAAATATTAATTTTATTTCTATTTTCTTCGCTTCTGTCCATTATAATCTTTCGATTCCTTTCAATGGCTTTCAAAGGGGATTTACTCAACTATCAATAATGTATTAACTGCAAAATTTTACCCAACTTTCAATTCGTATTAAAAGCATTGCGAATCTTACTCAACTTCCATTCCCTATTAAAATGACTGAAGAAAACCACATGATGGTGTCCAATACAAAGCCCTTTCAATCCCTATCAAAGCACTGGGAGTTTATGTAACTTTAGATTATCTATTAATTGACCGTTACACAATTGTAATCCTATTCTTTTTTTAAAAAATCACCTTCTAATTTTGACACAAGTTGGTACCGATCACTAACTAAAAGAAACCGTAAGATTTTACTCAACGTTCAATCTCTGTCAAAATCACTGGAAGCGTATGCAACTTTAGATTCCCTATTAAAATGACTTTTACACAAATGTAATCCCTTTACGAATTTTGACTCGAAGCTGAAACCTTATCCATAGGCGTAGGAGCCGGGAGGTGGGGCAATGAAAAATTCGACGACCTTTTTTTCTATTAACGTTTAGAGAAAAAATATAACTAACTTATTTCTATGAGATCCACACTGCCCGAAAAGTATTTTCTCGTCTTTTTCTTGTCCACTGCATATGCCCGAAAATATGCCCGAAGCTCTCGTATGATAGGTATGCCCGAAAAAACGGTATTGCCCGAAAAACGGGCATCGGGCCGGAAAATTTATTTTCGGGCAATGAAAAATTCGACGACCTTTTTTTTCTATTAACGTTTAGAGAAAAAATATAACTAACTTATTTCTATGAGATCCACACTGCCCGAAAAGTATTTTCTCGTCTTTTTCTTGTCCACTGCATATGCCCGAAAATATGCCCGAAGCTCTCTTATGATAGGTATGCCCGAAAAAACGGTATTGCCCGAAAAACGGACATCGGGCCGGAAAGCGGCAGAGGAAACTAGCAGTAAAACGCGTTTGCGACCGTCAAATATTCCAAAATTTTCTTGGCGGGTCATTCGCCTCTCAAAGAAAACCGGCGCCGCTGTCTATAAATCCGAAATTTTTCGGGCATTTCTAGTTTTGCTTCCCTAACTGTCATCGAGCCCTAATAAAACACTAATTTTACTTTTCTTGTAATTGAATATCAGGAATTTGTACTGAATTGACTAAGGAGTAAAACATTTTGTCTGGAGCCACTCTACTTTGTGCGACATTTTTCAGGCATCAATTATTATTTGTGAATGCAGATGCAACAGTCTGATTGGATGGTTAGAATTCAGAGTGGGATTTCAGTTACAAAACCATTGGATACTTTTGGAGTTGCTTACACGGGCTAGAATAGCAGAAAACGCATTTACGGTGATTAAATTTTCAAATTTTTCATCTGGAGGGTGAGGCCTCCATATACCGCGCGACGATTGATTGGTTGTTTGGAATTCGGGTCAGCCAGGTAGGCTATATTGGACCAAATTGAAGTTGCTGTATTCACAGACTGGAATAACAGGAAAACGCGTTTGCGGCAGTTACATTTTCAAAATTTTCTCCCAACGGTCCCGTCTTCGTTGACTGTAAACGATTGATTGGAATTCGAGTCAGCCACCTTAATAAGGCTATAATATATATTCGACCACTTTGAAGTTGCTTTGTTCACCGGCTGAAATAGCAAGAAAACGCGTTTGCGACAGTTAAATTTTCAAAATTTTCTCCTAACGGTCCCGTCTTCGAGGACTGTAAACGATTGGTTGGAATTCCGAGTCAGCCACCTTAATTAGGCTATATTAGACCGCTTGAAGCTGCTTTGTTCACTGGCTGAAATATCGGGAAAACGCGTTTGCGGCAGTTAAATTTTCAAAATTTACTCCTAAATTAGGCTATATAAGACCACTTTGAAGTTGCTTTGTTCAACGGCTGACAATAGCAGGAAAACGTGTTTGCAGCCGTCAAATATTCCAAAATTGTCTTTGAGGGGGAGGGGGGGGGTATACAAGGTCGCTGCTGTCTGTAAACCCGAAATTTTTTCGGGCATTTCGGGTTCTGCCCCCCTAACTGTCATCGAGACCCTACGCCTATGACCTTATCTAAAGATAACACAAGTTGGTACCCTACTGCCAATCTAGTATTAAATGAATCATGGGCATTTTCTCTGATTTCAACCCCTTATTTTACATATATATAGTTTTAAATCCTTTCTCAAACGGACTGCAAATATTTACTTAATTATTAATTAGTATCCATTAAACACGCAGGCCAAAAGGTTTGGCTTTTAGTCGTTTTGACCAAGATCTTCACTATTTCATGTCTACTGTACAGTAATTTATGTCAAGTCAAATTCTTTTTAAAATGCCATTTTGCATTAAATATAATCTATTTTCTAAGCACTATTTAATTTGTAAAAATAATTGACACGTATTCTACAAATATAATTAATTGAATAAATCAAGTATTTACAGCTGATAACTTTTAATCATTAGTTGTTTTTTTTTTGTGGGTAACATTTTATCATTTTCTTTATGTAGGAAACATTTTATCATTTGTTTTTTTTTCTGTGAGTAACATTTTATCATTTTCTGATGTAGGAAACATGGTATCATTTGTTTTTTTATGTGGGAAACATTTCACCATTTGCTTTTCTGAGGGTATTATTCTAAAATAACTTGACACCTTTGGTGGTTTTTTTATTATCAATTTAATTAAATTGATGCGTCTAGTCTACAATTTATAGTTTATGTTCACAAATAGAGCAAAATAAGTACAAAATAGAGAGATCATGCCACTTGACTCAATAAGACGCGTTCGGTCACCCGGACATATCAGATCAAGTCAATTGAACAATTCGGGGTGACCTGAATCAAAGAGCTTTTCAAAAATGTACTCATTTCTAAAGATATCTATAAGTCTATCTTGAATTCAGGAATAACAATTGTTTCTAATTAAAATGTTATTTGTTCAATTTCATCTAAAATAACTGGCATTATTATACACTGAGACTTTAAAAAAAAATTTATTGATCATTGATAAAAAATAAAACAGGAATCCGTAAAAGTTTCTTTTAAAAAGTGGGTAAAATAACAAAGACGGGAGTTTTTATGATTTTCATCAGCAAAAAAACGGTAAAAGAACTAACCAATTTACGGTGACAAGGTTTCTTGTAATTACCTATAACACTAGTACGTTGTCTCTTTACGTCAAATGCTATCATGGTCCGTACTGTGTGTGTTATAATAAGCAAATATTTAATTTGCAATATGAGACCGGTGTTCTTACAATTTTCTACTAAAGACTAGGTTACGATAATTGTTCTGTTTAAATGAATTAAAACTTCTTTGATTTCGGTCAAACTAAAGGCCCGTGGTGGAATGGGACAAGATGTATTACGGTTAAATTTTCTGTTTTTGGCTTGGGGATGATGTCATTGATCAGTGAAGCTTCCTACTGCCAATATTTGCTGCACTTTTGTATAACAAATAACAGTAGGACATTAAACCATTTATTCCAGTTTTAATGACCTATTAATGTTTACCACATATGAATGCGTATTGTTGTTTGTCAATTACATTTTATAATATTATTCTTTCTAATGTTTCACCATTTGAACAGTTTTCATAAAGAAGTTCTACAAAACCATTCCATTAACGTCTAACTTAAAAATACTTTTAAAATGTGAAATGATAGTGGCCGGATGCGATGAAAAGACATTAAAAACTGTTTTTTCTGTGTTCGGTTGGAATCAGCCACTGAACTTAAGCACATGCAAAAGAAATAGTTAGGACACCGAATTAACATCATCATTATGCGTCCACCCAGGCTGAACTGTTATCAGAGCAAACAAATGGATCAGCATATCACGAGAGTCTAAAGTCACCCCTATTGCAATACCAGGGTTACCAGAATTAATACGAGGTCTTTCGACTTACCGGATATAGGAATGTCTCTTTCGTATCAACTCCGTTTGCATTTTCTGCTCGGCATTTCCACAGACCCATATGTTCCATCCAACTGATTTGTTTAATAATAAGATCTCCATTGTCAGCAACCTGAGAGTGAAAAAAACCCACAAATAACATAAATATTTATCCTTACAATATTAAAAACAAATGAAATGGAATGGGGTTTAATGTTCATTGTTAATATTTAAAAACAACACACACAGTACCATATGTACGTCTAAAATGGCAAGACAAATTCTCGGGCAGTGTTCATTTCAGGACATCGCTCGCATCTCGCCAGTCGGGTCTAATTTGCGCCGTTTATGAATTTTTATATTACTTACTTTATAACCTTCGTCTCCATCTGTTATTACTTTACCATTTCTGTCGAACCAGGTTATTTTTGGTTGGGGTTTTCCCTCTGCCCGACAATATAGCTGAACTGTGGCATCTTCAAATTCTAATCTTGCAGACGTCCATAAATATATTCTTGCAGATTCTCCTAGAAAAAAAAAAGCAAAAACATATACACATACTAGTATTCAAGTCTTCTGTATTTTATAGCGGTTAACTGGACGATGTTATGTAAGTATTTTATAGTGGTTAACTGGACAGAGTCCTATAACTATTTTATAATGGTATCTGGACAATTTCCTGTAAGTATTTTATAGCGGTTAACTGGGCAATGTCCTGTATTTTATAGTAGTTAACTGGGCAGTGGCCTGTAAGTATTTTACTGCGGTTACCTAGAGTGACATGTCGGTATTCCAAGGTTTGGGGTAGAAAATATTGATGAAAAATACGAATTCTTGTCGGGTTGTCTCAAAATAACTCGGCCATATTGAAAGGGGATTAATAACTGAAAATAATGGCTAAGAACGGAACTGCAGAAGTAGACGTTTCATATTTTTCATACACTCAATATCATTAATAAAATCTCGACATTCATTCATTGATACAATACAAAATGAAGGCTATAACGGTATATCTATTAATGGCTTATAGAGAAATTGACAACTTGGAGTATGCCCTTTTCAACATAATTATCAATATAATTATAAAACCCTAAATCTATTCTGTTCAGACTAAAATGATAATGTAAGCTTTTAAAAAAAACCTAATGATAACGCTCGCACCTGTATTAGTATGATTGATAATAATGACTTTACTAAATGTCAACTGGTCGATCTAATAGCGTAGGTGTATCATCCAACAATTCCCTAAATGGCCATAATTCAAAAGAAGATGAGCTTTTGGTTTCAAACTAATGCCAGCCAATTCAGACTTTAAATCGCCACTAGATATCAGTAGCCATTACTTTATTAATGGATCGACTTGTATACGGTTAATGTTTATAAAGTTCAGAGAACGTCAACCATTTTCCCGTTTCCAGCACTGAGACTTTCACATATTTCTTCAGCACCATTCTCTCAGATTTATGTTAAACAAATCGCTAGGGCTTTATGAAACATAGCTGATATCGTCCTTAATGACACATTGCTGACTCGGTCCTCGTGCATGCTTCTCCAAATATAGATCCTAAGTTGTCATGAGACCATAAAATATTATTTATCAAACGATCTTTGAGATCAAGATTGTGCCAAGAGTGGGACGTGATAATATAACGATAAAAAAGATAGATATGTTTCGTAAATTAAACAAGCATAATATATAGATAGAGTCAACGAACAACATAAAAATGTTTCTGGTTGCACAATATTTGTCTCTCTTTGCCAGTGTTTATTGTATATAAACCAATTACAGATAAAGAATCCGTTTCTCGTGTGAACAAATTTGACCGAAAGACATTTATATGTGTAGATTAAACCCACTATAATTATCGTTAATATGGGCTTACAAGAGATTTTTTTTTATTTAACACACCTGTTTAGAAATAATTTCCATTTCCTCTTAGACGATCATCTTTTCAACATTTGAAAGGAAATTAATTCGTTACCAGAGAACAATCCCATAGACACCCTCCGTTTCAAATTTTATTCTAAGAGATTTTATGAGTGGGATGTCTCCTGTGACTTATCAGAACAAAGTAAATGCGGAATTCAAAGGCAAGAATAATGTATATAACAGAACTTTAATCTCAGTATATCATGAAATGAAAAGAGGCGACTGCCAATTCATCCCCATATAAGCTTTTAAAATACACTTTTAATCATCAACAAGACGAATCTGAATGACTGGAAATCTACCATTATCAAGAGCTAGTGATTGCCATATTCTCAAGAGCATTGTCTATTACGTTCAGCTAACCAGAATGTCGGCAACTTGCGTTGAAGACCATTTAAGTAATTAAATCCTGAACTAAAAAGATTGATAATTTTAGATTTGCTGTATTTTGACATTAAAACTTTAAAATTAAATCTTGAATATTAATATAAGAGAAAAAATAGATTGATGTGGAATTTGTTTGAAGGAATTTTTTTGTTAGGTCTACGGTGAAAGTTAAGTTGACTCGGATAGCTGCGGATCTGCGTACCGTTCTTTGAATGAAATTATTTGATATTCTTCTTAAGGATTCTCGCGTTTCTTATCTCATTTTAATCAGTTCTCTTTGCGAATATTCTGGTTTGAGTTGATATCCTGTATTAGCAGATAATGCTAATACAGTTTACGGATCAATAATGCAAAGACCTTTATTTTAAAATTATATCGGTACTAAGAATTTATTCAATTTAGTGTATCCAATACTGTAGAGGTGACCGGGTGGTCTAATGCGTGCGCTTTAGATCATAACGTCTGCCATTGAATTAACTGGTGTGGTTTCGATCTCACACTTGCGCGTAAGAAGGAATATGGTCATCTGGGCTTATATGGATCCTCCGTCCCCACCCCTCTTGCAAAAATATCTCTATGCGAATTATTGAAATAAATTTGTACTGTGGCTTATTCTCGAAATGATAAAAGCAATGGCAAAACCATATATATATATATATATATATATATATATATATATGATCCCACTACCACCACCACCTTGGCTTAACATTTCCTAATTTTCATGTTTCTGTAATACAAGACATTATCACGAAATGGAAATCACGTTTACGAATGACTTTTCCGAGTCAGTTAGAACATTCGACAGACATTACCCAACCCTTACAATGCGTTGTCCACTAACATGCCGATAAGGAGTAAATACCAATGCCTTACCTTCTAAAGATTTTTTCACTAGACAACTTTCTATACTGCTATATTTTTCATTATCTGCAACGCAAATTAATTAGGTAATGATAGTGAATGAATTCCAGAGACCACAATGATTTATCTTACCATAATATACTCAAATAGTATTTAATAACATAGCTCAAAGAATCGTCAATTCATAAAAAAGTGAAGGTTGCACAAAATAAAGATAAAAATAACCAGTAGTCTCGGCTTGTCTTAATCGCCCATGTTCCTTGAAGAATTTCAGAATAAAAAGCATCACAGATAATAATAACCAAATACTCATTACCTATTACTACTTTGCTTGATCTTTCAATACGTGCAAAAGGCGTTTCAGCAATACACGAATATGTCCCTTCTGTTTCTGGGATAAGGCAATCTATGTATAGTTTAGATTTGGTGGATGAAAGTCGTAAAAGGGGTTTTCCTTTCCGGCCAACCCGATCTTCGTATGCTGCTTCATCATCATGAAAATCTCGGTATTCTCCCTGTAAAAAGAGAATACGTTAACTTGGCCACCATGGTAAAGACTCAACATTTAACAATGTTCCAAATATAAATAGAGCCGTCTTGTACGTAAAGGAATTGTTAGTGAAATTTGCTGTGGTCTTTGTTTCATCTAGTAAGTATATAAGAATTGATTATTCAGATCATGCTCTAGCTGAGTTTAAAGGAAGATATTGGCACACATATAATACTAATATACATATTATATACAAGTAAAACTAGGTGAAATTCCAAAATGAATAAATACGTGGCATCGCGTGTTTAAGAGATAGTGCGTAATGTATGTCGTAGAATGGACTGGGGTTTTAGAAGTCGAAGCTTAACTTGTTATCAGAAACAAATTACAATGTAACTGATGGGTTAAGGAATAGTCCACCTGCTCAAGTCTCTGGTAACACAATCTATCTATCCTTCTATTATGATACATCACACAAATACATAAGAAACTCCCGTAATTTACACCCAGTTCTCTCGTTTCTCGGCTGTGCTATCATAATTTGACAGCATTGATGTCAGAAGAAATGCATATTGGACAGTTCTGTAATTGGATTTCGAGATTAACTGGACGACATCCATTAATTCAACATTAGATGTTATGTTGGCTCCTGGCGATGTGCTGTTCTATCTTTGTTGCGATAAGAACGCTTTTTGTATTTCTGGATTCAATGATAAGTGATATAGGTTTGTTGTACTAGTTAAGAAATCAAGCAAATAAGGGTCTTATACGTAGGGGTCTTTAGCTAAGGGGGGGGGGGGGGGCTGTGAGGCAGGCGACTGTGATGGCTGCTACTAACTACCCTGGGATGGAAACCATAACATTTCATTCAATAACAGATCTTATCATCTTTGCTTTTGGACCATCGACCAAAGCACTGGATTTAACGTACACCAATATGGCATAATCTTATTTTACTAATTGGCTTTGCCATTGCCAACATGGGCTTAAAAAATGCAAGGAAACCGGAGTACCGATAACACCCACAAGGTTAGGTAGGTGGCCCCACATTCTTAAATGACATATTTTATCATCCACAGAGAGTGTGTTAGTTTTCTCAACCGCCTTGCCCCTATCTATGTATAGTCGTGTACTTACCTGTGAAAGACGTTCGCCATTTTTTAGCCAATGTATCGTTGGCGTTGGTGTGCCACCAACCTCACATTCTAATATAATGTTATCATGACGATTTACGCGTGTCAAAGGACTTAAAGGACGGCCTTTAAAATATAATTTTGTTCCTTCTGTTTTTCTGGAAACTGAAAGAAAAATAAAACAAAATAAATGCCATGCCCGTTACTCGTTATTGGAGATATCTTGGATTAACAAACGCCTTGCCGCAACTTCACTGCGGGAATTCCAATGATAAACTTAATGATACAATAATAATTTATAATATCAATTTCTAAATGCAATAGTTACATGGGGAGTAGCTAACCGAATAAATTATTAAAATATATCGCTTCCATACTCTCATATTCTTACAAAGAATATATATATACATAAACTTGCTCTTTGAACAAATCTCCAGGGTATTTCTTGATAACGGATCTTAAATGGTAAGCGCGTTTTCTTAAAAGGGTTGAGTATATCAATTTTCGTATGACTAAATATACCTCAGGTAATCTACGATATTATTGTCGTTAATAAATGTATCAAAATATTTTTTTGACTTCCGTATTAAAAAAACCCAGAAGAAATAATAGAACCAATCAATGAATTCAGAAAGAACAGCAGTTAATTAATCTCTTTATGCTTATAAATCAGATGCTTTTTATGTTATACTGATTCATTTTCAAAAATAGACTAGTAGTTTATAATAATTATGCAATCCTTTGTTAATAAACGTATTCTTCAAAAATTAAAAAAGCGTATCCCTTCTCTTGTTTATTGCCATTTCTCTGATTAGAATATAGATCATGAATCAAACGATTAATAATATAGTATTTCTATTACATTGTATCTGATGTGTTTATGTAACGGGAGTGTAATATAATGAGCATTAGTTTGATTATGGTTAAATAAAGCTGCACTTAACAACGTGTAACCAGTCAATATTTTAAATTAATATAGAAACGCCTATGGGCAGAAATTACATAAATACACTTATTACAGGATGTTAGACAATGTACAGAAATTGCAGATATCGGCACAGTACATAACCAAACAAGCCAATAGTGGAGAGCTAATGCCAACCCAATCTAGAACTGTGGCTACGCAAATTGACGCACCACCCGAGTGAAAATATGTAAATAAAATTCTGCACTAACCGGGATAATGACGACGGGCATACACCATGCAGTGGGAAATTTGGTCCGGACATCGAATTCTTTTACGTGCACACCAACGTGTACATGTGAGCTCGGTTTTTCTTGCCAGACGTGTTCGTCGACGTCAACGTCAACCAACAACACTGCAAGAATTGGCCGTGGCACTGCTAGAGGAGTGGGTCAGATGGCCCAAATCGTGATTGGACGGTTGATTAGGAGTATACCACGACGAATTGCTGAATGTCTGAGGATTGATGAAGCAATTACTCGTTATTTAGACATCCATTTTCACTTTTGACGGTGTATCTCTTTGCGAGTGAAATGGGGTCGTCAGATAAGCTGTCCATATGAACTGTTTATGTTCATGTGTAGGCAATTGGCCTGTTATTAACATACACTTGTTACCTCTAATAAAAACAGCAGTGCATTTCAGCAGTTTTGTATTGTTTCTGAATATCCCCTACTTTATTTGAAGACTATATTGGAACTTGAGCATACAAATATTTATAAAAGATAGCTTCACGCATTAGGTTATGTGTATTCGTGAAAGTCGGATTTGTGAGTTTGTTGAAACTTAGGCCGTCAAATGCAAACACTATGTTCGTCAAATATTAGATTTGCATTTCTGAAATTGGCGATTTAAATATATATTTTCTTATGTGTGTGTGGGTGTGTGTGTGTGTGTGTGTGTGTTCAATGACAAATTATTGTCATAACTTGATGGTAGATTATGGTTGCATTAGAAAACCATACGAGTTGTACTGAATAATAATTATCAATAAGAAATAGATGTAATTGAAGTGAATTGATTCTAAAAATGATGTCATTCAATATAGCACATCCTCCGTTCATATCCGTTAAAACAAAGGGTGTATAGCATTCATCGATATTTCATACAGAAAAGTAAACGGTTGTTTCAAAATAGACATTAGATCTATAATAATTTACCACACAAGAAACCCACACTTATTTTACAAAGAAGCTGAATCATAGATTAATTGCAGAAATAGTATTTTATAAAAAAAAAATTATACAAGTTTTGGAATGATTGAATGAAATGAGGTTTAACACTGTTCTGAACCGACTTGGATAATGAATACGGCATAGGTTTTTGGTGTTAGATAAAGAACTAATGTGCTAATATTTAGGTTTCAAGATGCTTGAGAACATCCGAAGTCCAAAACTATTTTAATGTCAATACCGATAGAAAGTGTTCATCCGGTTTTCTTATAAATAAACCGTGCAAGAAGATGTATTATGTAGGAGCTAAATCTGCCTATTTCAGGTCTTCTTTTCTGGCTTAAAATGTTATCGGATGGCTCCGTTGTTAGTAGATAAGAACACCGCGGCCATTAAAGAGTTTATCGATAAAAATGATAATCGAGATTTAAAATTAACACTCAACGCAACATTTTGTCAAAACTTCAAGCACTCATAACTTCGGACATTTTGCCTTATATGTTTTTGAACCATTGTAGCAATAACGACCTTTGCATAATGCATCTTTAAAAGAATTTAATACGGCCAGTTCTGTCAAATCGTGTCTGTATACTTTAAGCGAAAGAATCTGATATGCCTGCGTTGTAAGACAAGTCATGTGTCAACTTTATCCAGAATCAATGTTTAATATAGAAACGTCTACTTACCACCTGAGTTTAATCTCTTTTGTAAAGCGTATTTGTGTTTAAGACCCTGAAAAAAAAGTAAAAGGAACATGAGTTTCATTACTCTACAACAATAAATGTAATTTTAACTGTCGTTTTTATCGATAACACACCGCCTGGTCACCTTTTTGTATGGCATCAGGTGTCTTACTATGAATTGGTTGTAATTATTTAGAAAAAAAGCGGTTGCCATAAAATATACACCGACATTTTGCAAGAAATGGACAGGGAACAAGCTAAAAAGATAGGTTGCCAGGCAACGAAACATACGCCCACAGCAGCTAAATCGTCCGGGCAGCCAACAAGTGTTGTCGCATATCTTTTACTTTTTTTTGGTAATGAAACATTTATAATACACTAAAATCTGATTAAGAGTTACAACTCATGAAGTAATTATCAATCTGAAGTCAATCGGATGATAACTTTCAAAGTTATCAAGGGCCATAGCTTTGGCAGTAATTATCTGAAATCGTTGAAAATCAATAGGATTCGTTGTCTCACTACCTCAAACACTGTGTATAAATTTAAAGTCAATCGGATATTAACTTTAGCCCCAAGAGCATCCACAAGATTTTTTGAAGTGATCAAGGGCAGTAATTATCGGAAATGGTTGAAAATCAATACGCTTTTTTGTCTTATGACCGTAAACACTGCGTATAAATTTAAAGTCAATCGAATATTGACTTTGGCCTCTAGAGCGTCCACAACATTTTTTGAAGTGATCAAGGGCCATAACTCTGGAAGTAATTATCGAAAATAGCTGAAAATGAATAGACGTCTTCGTCTCATGACCTTAAACACTGTGTATAAATTTAAAGTCAATCGGATATTAACCTTCGCCTCAAGAGCATCCACAAGATTTTTTGAAGTGATCAAGGGCAGTAATTATCGGAAATTGTTGAAAATCAATAGACCTCTCCGTCTCATGACCTTACACACTGCGTATAAATTTAAAGTCAATCGGATATTAACTTTGGCCTCTAGAGCGTCCACAAGATTTTTCAAAGTGATCAAGGGTCATAACTCTGGCAGTAATTATCGGAAAATGTTGAAAATCAATAGACTTCTCCGTCTCATGACCTTACACACTGCGTATAAATTTAAAGTCAATCAGATATTAACTTTGGCCTCTAGAGCGTCCACAAGATTTTTCAATGTGATCAAGGGTCATAACTCTGGCAGTAATTATCGGAAATCGCTGAAAATCAATAGGCTTCTTCGTCTCATGACCTTAAACACTGTGTATAAGTTTAAAGTCAATTGGATATTAACTTTGACCTCTAGAGCGTCCACAAGATTTTATGAAGTGATCAAGGGCCATAACTCTGGCAGTAATTATCGGAAATCGCTGAAAATCAATAGGCTTCTTCGTCTCATGACCTTAAACACTGTGTATAAAGTTAAAGTTAATTGGATATTAACTTTGACCTCTAGAGCGTCCACAAGATTTTTTGAGGTGATCAAGGACCATAACTCTGGCAGTAATTATCGGAAATCGCTGAAAATCAATAGGATTCTTCGTCTCATGACCTTAAATACTGTGTATAAATTTAAAGTCAATCGGATATTAACTTTGACCTCTAGAGCGTCCACAAACAATTGTGGACGACGGACCGACGTACGGGGGTGACGACAATATACGACCACATTTCAATGTGAGCGTATAAAAAGGCAATTTTTCGTACAGTCAGGGGCCATAATCAAGGACGTTACGGTCTGATACGCGCAAGTATCAATTTAAGGAAACCAGATCTTCGGGATATAGACATATTTTAAATTTGTAACCTCTACAGGGTCCACAACCGTGGTATTACATATTTTTACATTATTGGCGTACAAGGAGCAGCCATTTTGTCGGGCAGTTTCGGTCCGATTTTCACGAAATTCAATACAATCCGATAAGTGCGAATATCGAAAGGAACGAAGCCCAGATCTTTGGATTATAAACATACATTTTAAGTAATTTAAGTTTCATTATAATCGGATAAAAATTTTCACCCTTAGAGTGTCCACAAGCTAAAAACGTGATATGTCGTGTAATCAGGGGCGATAATCCATGAAGTTTCGTTCCAATACATAACAATATCGAAAGAAACCGAGATCTTTGGAGAGAGAGAGAGAGAGAGAGAGAGAGAGAGAGAGTGAGATATGTCGTGCAATCAGGGGCGATAATCCATGAAGTTTCGTTCCAATACATAACAATATCGAAAGAAACCGAGATCTTTGGGGAGAGAGAGAGAGAGAGAGAGAGAGAGAGAGAGAGAGAGAGAGATGGGGTTTAACGTCCACTCGACACAAACTAGGTCATTTCGGGACTAACATGGTTCAATTATATTTCCATAATTCACTTGCGCGTAGGGGTCTTTAGCAGTGGGGGGAAACCGGGCGAACCGGAGAAAACCCACGAGGTTGGACAGGCGACCCTACTCCTTGTCGCGTACAACCGGGGAATCGAAACTACGCCAGTTGACTCAATGACAGACTTTATGATATAGCGCGCACGTGCTAACCATTCAGCCATTCAGCCATCCAACCCCCCACGAGATCTTTGGAATATACACCTATATTTCATGTTCAAATGTGAACGGACAGGGGCGACGACAATATACGTGGACGTATAAAAAGTTTAACTAGTAATTAATACAGTTGGCATACAAAACGATCATACATGTATAAGCTATGTGACAATTGATCATACATGTATAAGCTATGTGACAATTGATATCAGGTGGCACGGAATGAATAAACAGACCCTGTCGTATAAATGATAGTGATACCCTGCACCAAATGCAGCAGAGCGGGGGGGGGGGGGATATCGACAACATTTCTTATTATATCCGCTTTTAGAATACAGATATTGTAAACGAACTTGTGAATAATGGCATATATTCCCCAAACGTGTTCTTAATATTCTGAAATATTCTTAATTAATATAGCAGTTCAGATTACAGCAGCTGCTTCTAAGAATGCTGAGATAAACTGTAAGGCTATGAATCACAAGCAAACCATTTAAGAGTTGAAATGAAATGTACAAATGGAAATCAACAATACTTAGTAAGCATGGCCTTGACTTTGTCGCCACGAGACAGTGATTTCAAAGAGATCAGATGATACTCAGAAGCTAATATTTAATATGCTAATAAACAGTAGTTTCAAAGACTGCCTTCATCCAAGAGATCACAACTTTTGAGATTATAGCAACCACACCCGATGTCAAAATAAAACATATTATCTCATCAGAATATCAGAAAGTCTTTCCTTCACAAACTGTCCTATCAATCAATCAATCCATTAGACTCTGAAAATAACTCACTGATTGAATAAGTATGTCAATAATTCGTAATGAAATTGTTATTTACTGAAAATGATTTCATTAATTGTGTTCAATGGGCACATATTCCCAGATTTAATGAATGGTTTTATGTGGGCGGACATATCTAAAATCATACCAGTCTAACGCAATGTCTTCTCAGGGGAGGTAACTACTAAGTATAGATCATTATCTCAAGTTGTGAATTATGTTTCTATACCCAATAGCGTCATATGATTTTTATTCTATGTGTATTGACTTTAAACCACATTATATCAAGTCATTAATAACTAGTAATAGCTCCCTCTAGTGCAATAAGCCCGAAATACCCGGACTTTAGTTGTTGAATGTGGATTTACATCGAATAATTATAATGATGGTTCGAATGTTAGTTACCCCGACCGCAATTCTCAAAAGAAGTCAAAGAAAGCGTGGGCGAACCGATTTGCTTTAATTAACCATCGAAATCATATAAATATTTTAAAAAGAGGCTATAGAGCTACCCTGGGGAATATACAAATAATCTGGTTATATGAATTTTTGTCGGCAGAAAGTCTCGGATGTGTTGTATGGTCTATCTCGATAATTGTTACCGAGGAGTGTTATCTGAATAATATTTTTGTTCTCCGAAACACACCAGCCGTATATTAATAGATATAGAAAAACAAAAAACTGAGTAATGTTTTGTATTCAATAAAGTCAACACACCCTGCTCAGTGCACAATATCAATCACTGCTTGTAGCTAACTAGAGCGTTGGCTTGGTCCTATATTTCAGAGTGCGAAGAGTACTGGAAGGAAAGTAACCTCGTGACCAAAATTGCCACTAGCAGAATCAATTTAGATGCAGCAAATTATCAGCTTCGTGAACTTGTAAATCAACGTAAAAAAAGAGAAGCTCTAGTGCCACGACTGATTTTTCATTATTCTCGGATCCTTATTTTCAGTTCTAAATGGCGATTGCCACAATGTCACGTCTAATTGTCATCTGGATTATTGAGCAACAAAACGAAACGCTTTACTAACATCCTCATGATACTTGCCTTTGCACCAGGAAGTAATGGATACTAGAATCAATAACCATTTCCGTTCAAACGACAATCAAAGCCGATCATAATGGTTCGACATTTTCAATAAAATCCCGATAAGTAAATCGTTTCCCGATTGACCAACATTTTAAACTTATGGAGAAATGCTATCTTGACAGAAGATCAGACTGCTTGTCAAATACGAATTATGCTGTCGGGCGACACAGTTTCAAATATCACAATACTTTTCTCCTAGTTCCAATTCCAGGGATGTCAACATTCGACAATGAAGAAATAGTGGCATGTTTATAATCAATGTCAGCCATTGACCATGATCGGCGCAATTCATAATTATAACAGTAACACATGCTTATTTATTCTCTTCAATGTTTTGGGCTGGGGATGGGGGCGGAAAGCGACATTTCTACCCACTGTTCGTCGAATTAAACAACCAGTGGTTCTTTTACATACATTCCAGTATGTACACGTGTGGACAATGGTGTTTAGAGAAAACTCGAAAGCCGTAATTTGAAGAAAGGCTGTCGGAAACATCACTGTCCAGGCAAGATTCACCTATACCCATTGGTCACGTAATAATACAATTACCATGTGGCACTTTCAAAATCTACCACATCCCTATGGGGGAGGGGGCGTGGTGGATGGCTGAATGGTTAGCACGTGCGCGCTGTAT